CCCTGGCACGTTTAGAACTTTGATTAAAAGTTAATGAACTCACAGGAAGAAATATGTTAGGCATCTGCAGAATTCCTGCAGTCAACCTGCAAGGCAGAATATTCTTTGTGGTCCAGTGTGCATGATGTCATGTGCTGACAACAAGTCAGTTGAAGTATGTGTTAAATATCCACTCGAGCATTGTGTGGTGCATGTGATTGACTAAGCAAAGAGGTTCCTGTGTGTCACAAGGTCGATAAAATGGGTCATTTCAATGGCTTATGACCGTCCATGGGAGCGCACGGCTACTGTAGATAAATTCTGATTTTCTAGCTCTTAATTATGATGAGCTGGAAAGGAGATAAACACTTAACAGCCACTCACGGTCAAGTTGACAGTCCCTCAAAGGCCACAAAAGAGTAATTCCATTTTAGACCAAACGTTCAAAATCATTAGCTGCACAATATGGAACAATTAGGTTTCCTGGTAATTGCTTGGCAACACTGCTCTGGCCTTGAGCAATAGAGAAATAATTCCTGTCGATCAGCACAGAGCAGATGACGGCCTAGTGAACTGCTATCTGTGGCGAATGGAAGAAAAGATGCTCTGTAGTCAGTCTGTCGATTTCCTTTTCACAACTGTTTTACATCACTGTGTGAAAGGACATGTCAGAAATATAAAACCCCCAAATTATGTTATACTACTACTAATAATATTCCTCTTATGACCAAGTAAGGAAAATAAAAACTGATGGAATAAACTGAAGTAAAAACAACATGCACTGTAAAAAAAAAAAAAAAAAAAAAATCCCGTAAAAAAACGGCAAATATCTGGCAGCAAAGTTTCCAGACGGTTTCCGTTAAATTACAGCAAATTACCATTTCACAAAATTTCATGCAAAAACCCGTAAAAATACAGAATTTACTTTACAGTCAAAATTCATTAAATTACAGTAAATTACTGTTGATAATGGCTTATGGAAAAACAGATAAATTATGTCAAATTACATTAAAAAGCCATTTATCTTTCAGGTTAAACTGTAAATTTAGGGTTTTATAAAGTTATTTTATATAATAATGCCATCTATCTACAGTAATTCTCTTTTAATATATAGTTTTTCTGTGTTAAATAACAATTAATTATGTATGAAAATGTAATAAATACATAAATTAAAATACAAATGTTTGTAAATTTAGTTTTATTTTTTATTTGTACAGATCCAATTTCACAACTTTGAACAATCTCTATTTAAGTACTTAATAATAGCAAATCTACAGTCAATGTCTGTTCATTAACTAAATGTATGAGTACAGAATACATGTCAATGTTCTCTAAATGTAAATATCTAGGGAGAAACACAATGAGTTGTATTATCAGCACTTCAAAGTTTGGAAAATCCAATAGATATCTATTATGTCTAATTCATTTTACAAAAAATAAATAAAAATAATAATAATGTTATTTGCTTTTCCCCTAATCATTAGAATATACTGTCCCTCTGATCACACTGCAGGAAAGTAAAATATGAAGTCTTGAGTCTTGTTAAAATAATCAAAATGAAGAGTTTTATGATTAAAAAAATAACTTATGATTAATGATTAATAAATATCTGTCAAATGGGCTCAGAAAAACAAAATAAATTCAAAGGAAAGTTTTCATAACTCATTGACATATTCTTGTTTTAAGCGTAAACTCACTTGTGTTAATTTTTTTTACTTGATTTAAAGGGTTAGTTCACCCAAAAATGAAACTTATGTCATTAATGACTCACCCTCATGTCATTCCAAGACACTGTGTGTCTTGGAAAAGTGACACTGGTGACGTAAGATGCTGGTTACCAGAGAACACGTCAGCGGCGTCTTACGTCACCAGCGTCACCGCAGAACTGGAAGAGAATACAATGTTTAATAAAGTTGCAGTTTCTGTTATTTTTGGACCAAAATGTATTTTCGATGCTTCAAAACATTCTAACTAACCCACTGATTTCTCATGGACTTTGATAATGTCTGTATTTCCTTGTGTGAACTAACCCTTTAAAGTGCATCCATTCACTCGTCCATCCATCCATCTATCTGTGGAACTGCATTGGTTCCTTTTAAAAGGGAAAGAGGAGGTGTGGAGGTTGGTAGAAAAGAGCGATCTTCAGCATTCTCTCAGGTTTGAAATATCAGGAGAGGGAGACAATGTGCGGTGGGCACTGTCATTGATCATATGTCTTTGACCTTCACACTAGCTTAGTTTGAATATTTCCAAAGTCACCTCAGGTTGGTGGGAAATTGACATTTCACTTGTGAAATATGCTTTAGGGTGCTCTCTTCACATTTAGTTCCAAAGCTTTCAGCTCTTTCATTGTATGCAACGAATCAAGAAACAGAAAGACTTCAACAAAGGTTCAGATCACTGCAGCAATGGAAAAAAAATGCTTATGGTTAAATAGGGCATCAGGATTATGTGTGAATATTTGTGGATCAGATTACATAGGCTGCATTGGGCCAGGTTGGGAGTTGCTATTATGTTACAATGAGAGCAGCACACAAATCACTAAGAACAGTCCTCTGTGGAGACCTTGTGTAGATTTATGATGCTTTTCATTTAAAAATAGTCTGGTTACTTCTCTGATGCTACATTGTTATAGTACATTTAAATGTCCGAAATAAATATATATTTTTGCATTAGGCCTAGATTAAATTAAATTAAAATACACAAAGCTGCTTCACACAATGGTCACTCCTGATCGTGACAACACATACAAAAGCATATTAAAATCAACAACAGTTACTGGTTAGCACAGAGGTGTAAAAAATTGTATTACAGCTCATATGAAGATTAATCTGCTTCATAAAGTTGAAGTATAAGTGCACTTCAACCTCTGTTATGAGTTCAGACGTTCTAGTCAACACGTGACTATATAAAATCATTGGGATTATGAAGCAAAAGAAAATGAATGATATTTTATATAAAGGCAACTATGCTTTTAAGGTGAAACTTTCACAAGCTTTTGTTCTAAAAAAGCTTTTTGTTCTATAGTAAAACAATAAATTAAATAACTCATTACACCTCTCCATTTCTATGATTGGTTTCCTTTCATATGATTCCTATGCAAATAAATTATTCTGTGCTGACATTTTAGCTATAAAAAGCTTTTAAACATCATCACTGTTATTGGACAAATCAATAGCGAGAATCACACTACGGGGTATAGGTTGTCATAACGGGAACATGGCATCAAATAGCCTATCTACTTGTTACATCGACAAATCGAAAACTGTTTCGGTGTACAAGCCTCTATTCTGTTTCAAGTGAGAATACTACAGTATCTTCAAAAAAAAAAAAAAAAAAAAAAAAAAAAAAAAACAAACAGTGTAAGAGAGGTATTCATTTATAACACAAATGTAAAATCAGATGCAGTCACCAGACTCACAGTGTTTGGACACCAATATTTTAGAGATTCAGAAGAGATTAATCAATGGCCAACTGAGATTTTGCAAAGGAGATAAAGTATTTTTAAGTACTGCACACCAAGTGTACATAGCACGTTTGTCGTTAGAGCATTAAACACAGAAATAGGGATGCCAAACTTAACAACTGTATTATAAGCTTTTCTGCTCAATTGAAATAGTTTAACAATTATGGGTAACACTTTCAAATAATGTTAATATGAAACTTCGCAGGAAGTCAGCAAGACAAATTAGTAGTATTAACACTTCAGCTATAACTAATATGAAAACAAGATTAAGTAAGAAATAGTATTTAGATAGTTCCTCATTATAGGTAATTAATAATTACTTAATTAGATTGGCCTTATTAAGAACTAAGTACGAAAAATTACAAAGAATTACTTATAATATTAACATGTCTGAGACATGAGACATGAGAAATTTATTTATATATATATATATATATATATATATATATATATATATATAACTCTGAATTTGGTCATAAAATGCATCCCTAACTACTAAAGTGTTATAGTTACTCCTCAAGAACTAGTGATCTGGAGTCAGCCATAATTTTAAAGTGAAAGAAATCATCACTAATCCCGCATCACTAATTCCTGCAGAGTGACTACATAATACTTTAGTAATTGTTATGCATTTTATGACCACATTCAGAGTAAAAAAGAGAACAATCCGGTCTGGTCCAGAACACCAGTAGTTCTTGAATATTCACTAACACTTTTATGACCACATTTAGAGTAAAAAAGATAAAAAGAAAGACTGCATGTTAACTAACTGTCAGAGTATAAGTAGACTGTTAGGGTTAGGAATAATTTGCATGTAGGCCTACTGCAAAATTACTTAGAGACTGTCTCCTTAAAATCTACTAATGCCTTATTTTGATGGTCCCCCAACAGACGTTCTACTGACTCATAGTTGACCTGTTGCAAAGTTACTTATCATTAGCAGATTGTCTAAAGTGGATTGTAGAAATAAAGTGTTACCATAGTGTCCCGTAAATGTGCATGCATTTAGCCTTCTTTTTCTACTGGCTTTTTGGGAGTGTTTTGGAAGCATTGCTCTGCTTGAAACATCAGTTGCTTTGCTTTGGCAACATTTTTAGATTTTATAGCGGGTTCTATGCATAGAGAAAACGCTCTCCTGTAATTGGACTTTAGACTCAAAACCTTAGGCTGTAGTGTTATTATATAAAAATGGTGACAACTCCCCACGTGAGAACTAGCCTTGGTCTTCCCAATGTCTACCAAGGTGCAACAAACAGACAATACTGCATTTTTATTCGTCTTTTCATAAAATGGGTTACATCACAGGTACGATAGTATAATACACAACTATTAACATACAGTGAATATTTACTGCCTTCCTTCGTCACTCTACTGCCACACAAACCCCTCATAGAGAGGGCTGGGTTTATGTGAACCCAGCAACCATAATGGTTGGTTTCAATTATTTACATACCCGATTCTGATTGGATAAAAGGCTTGTCAATCGCTACGGTTCTGAGCCTACGTAAAAAATGGGCGGGTAAAGGCAGTGGAAGACAGAAAAAAACAAAAACAATCCGCCCGGGCGTCCATCTTGAATACAGTAAGCCACTGGTGACTGACAGCAACGGAGAGTGAAATCGCGATAAATTGAGTTGCGACTGCTCTAAAAAGTCAACCGACTGCGATCACCGGGAAAATACATATTGAAGGATTACATTTAGTGACGTTATCTGTCAATTCCGTCTCATTTTTGGCGTCATATTCCCGATGAAGTTATTTCGGAGGCTGTAACGTTACATGCTAAGCTTTATTCAGCCGTCGACATGTCTTAGTTTAAAACGAGTGTTTGTTTTAACTATGCACCTTAGCAGTTCTCGAAAAGCTTTGTGAGGTTGGTAATTGCAGGTTTGAGTCATTAACACCCGAAAGGAATGTGGATATAGCGCGTTTGGCCATATTTAAGTCCTTCACTGTCAACTTGAGCTCGCGCGTGCGCTGAATCGTGCGCGTGACCCCATTTATCTATGATCAGTAATTCTACATTTATATATATATATTTAAAAAATAAAAACGGAAAAAGTAAGCGTGATGTGGAAATATCGTATAGGTATGTTAATTCCATTTTTATCCCCGTAAATATGCATGCATTTAGTGAACTGCCATAGACTTTTCAGGTGGGTGTGAGGCATTGCTCTGCTTGAAATATTAGTTCATTTGTATTAATAACAATATTTTATACATATTTTATGGCGGGTTCTATGCATATATTGTCCAGTTCTGTTCATTGGAAATGGGAGCTGACCCATTTACTGAAAGATCTTATTGAACGGGCTCGTTTATTCTGAGCGCTCGACAGGGCAAGATTGTATAACGTTAGATATTATTCGTAGGAATTTCCTCGTTTTTGACATGGGTTTTCAGGAAAACTGCATGGACAGTCACAGATCACTTTATTTCGAAAAGCTCGTCTGCTTTAAATGAACTGTCACTAGTGGACTCTTTGATGCCGTTTCCCAGTCGCTGAATCTGAGGACTATAATCTACCATTGGATTTGTGCACTGCCATATATCACTGACTCGGTTACATGGATGTGTTTCACTGACTGCTGATCAGTAGTTCGAGGGGAAACTTGAATGCAGAGAGTCTTGGATTTTGTAGGACAAGACAGCAGATTGAAAAATGGGACCTGCAACGAAGCTGGCGTTTGGAGTGTTCCTCATCTCCTGCTCATCAGGTGGGTATTAATATGTTGTAACAACTCTAAATGCAATATGCATGTACAGAGTGTTCGTTTGTATCATGACATGTTTGTGTGTATGTATGTGCCACCGGAGGCTGTTTCTCTTGTTACTCCGCATTGAGATCGAATTCACTGGTTTCTCGTAAAATAGCTACACAACGCCATCTGAATATTATCTGAGCGTGCACTATACAGGAGCAGCGTTTACTGCTAGGATTATGCAGCTTATTTTCTCAGTGACTGGTTTCCAACGTGAAGACCTGTTCAGTAAAGTTTAGACAACACACTAGTGGTGTATTGAACAACTGTATGTTCGTGTAATATTGACCAATAGCGTTGTGCTGGCTGCTGCTCATGCATGCATGCATGTTTTATATGTTGCATGTTAAACCCCCTCTACTGGTAGCTCATATTTTTTTAATTATTCATGGATAAGGATCGTTCAATTTATGCATATTAGTAAATGAGTGGTTTAAAAAGGAATAAAATCATTTGATGAGGCCGGCTAGGCCAAAGGTCATTTGCATGTGAGAACGTTAGATAAGATATGGCTGAAGTTACATGAGCACATTTAATGTGCACCTTTATGGTTATATTTCTTCAGAAATATATTTAAGGAATAGCAAGTCAAACGGGGGATGTTTCTATACAGACTGTGTGTTTATCATTTGAATTTTGGTTTTATTGAAAAAAGAGGCACAATCTTTGCCTGTTCTCTGTGTTCCCACTATATCCCTCATTCTGGATTGCACTTGCCCACACAGCACTGCACTCTTTTGGCTACAGAGACAATTAATCAATACAATGTTACATTTGAGCGCATTGCTTCTGTATTTATATCAGTCTAAAGGCAGAAATATTCATGAGCATCTGGGTAACATAAGAAACTGTATCTTTTGGGTCACATTGCACATGCTCTCTCGGAGGAATCGGTGTAAACTAATGGGACGAGCATACAAACCATTATAGACCTGCTTGTAGTGATACGAGGAACTTTTCACCTGATTGTTGTTTGAATCGTGTTTATGGATTTGTTTTGTATACTTGTGTTACACAACTGAATGCCTATTAGAGTTACTTCAGGATGTTACTGGATGTTTTGTCTGTATTTGGAGGACCATTCTTGCTACTGTTCAGATACCAATTGAAAAGTTCAATTTTGTGTGCTGCATGTACATTTTCATTTTCACAGAAGTTTTGCCAAGACATGAGTTAATGGCTACTGTACTGAAAGAATCAAGTCTAAGCACTTGCCCAGCTGAATGTAAATTAGGCCTATGCCTTAAAAGCCACAACTCTTAAAATAAATCACAACTGGCAACATCTGACCAAAAGCACACAAAGAGGAATTTGTGAATTTATTTAAATGGAGATTCTATAGATTTATCAATGCAGAATGACAGAAACAGTGTTTTTCTAATATAGATATATTTTACAAAGTAGGTGCAATGCTGTATTATTTGTTATCGTTTTCAAATGGATTATTTTTTTGTCCGTTTGGCAGGATAACATGAATTGTATGATTTTTTTTTTCAACTTTTATGAGCGATCAGATTAATGTGCTCTGATTAATTTTTTAAACCTACAACCTAAAAGTTGCAATAAGACACATTTGTTGTTGTTGTTGTTGTTACTAATAACAACAATAATAATCATAAAAACAGTTTAACTTTGTGAGTGGTGGTTACAGTGCCTCAGATCTGATGGATGAACTAGGGCTGCCCCCTAATAGTCGACTAAACGTTATTTGACGAGAAGAGGCTTAGTCGACCAAGATTTTATTAGTTGGTTAGTTAGTAACTCCATTTGAAGTGGCGAAGGCACGCAGTCTGTGAGGGACAGATCTTTATTAGCTGGTCCTTGTGGTGATTATCCTACAGTATGTCGGGCAGGAAATCCAAATATTCACCTATCATCCATCAACCTCAAATATGGCTTATCATTTAAAACATGTAAGTAGTAACAACTTTACTTGACCGCTCGCTCGCTCTAAAATAAAATGCACAAAAATGTGGCCCTGCTTGATATATAGACTGTAACCACTGATGAACTTATTCAGTTTTGATGAGAGAGCAAAAACTTTGAACGTGTAACCTCTGACACATTTGGCAAAAGATCTACCACTAAATAGGGGTGCACGATTCAGAAAATGTCACGATTCGATTCGATACCGATTTTTTGTCTCGAGATTCGATTCAAAATCGATTTTCGATTCAAAAACGATTCTCGATTCAAAAAACGATTCGCAGGTCTACATAAATGTAGTTTACTTTTTCCTATGTGATTGATTGCAGTAGACATTAGGGGTGTAACGGTACATGTATTCGTATTGAACCGTTTCGGTTCGAGGCTTCCGGTTCGGTACGCATACAAACCGAACGAATTGCTTGGACCATTTTTTCCTGCCGGCAAAATTCGTGCTGACGCGGCCAACACAACGTTGCGCAACATCAAATGGCAAGCGTAATGAAAGCAGAACGAAACTGCGCTACTCGTTAAGTGCTTCACGGATCGTTTATCAGTTCGGACCAGCAACATCTGTGCAGCGCGAGCCGATCTCGATCAAGCGACACTGTTACCACACCGCGCTAAGAGATCCGGTAAAGAACACATTTGAATACGCCACTGAGGTAATAACATCGCTGCGAGATCTAGTGAGAAGCATTCACATTTCTCCGTTATTAACCGTAGATCTCTATTAGATCAAACAGCGCTGACGTGGAAACCAGGAGAAACATTGTGCTGTGAATGAACTAGTAATACTTTACGTCCACAGACCAGCAACATTCACCATGGATTTAATATAGTAACACTAACTGGAAGCAGTTTGGCTGGAATGGTGAAATGCTTTCAAGTACTTTACACATCTTTTTCCAGCACTTCAAAATTCAAATATTATATAAATAAATATATATTTAAATGTTATTTTTAATGTGATGACCAAAACATTATTTGTTCATCCTTCAAAGATGACCCCCATTTATAAACCTGAAAGTTTCAAGATCTAGGAAAACTCACACTTATTCAAAAATATTTTTTCTTTAAACAAATAGGAAATTTCTCTGGCATTTCTTTCTTTTTGCTGTATCGAAAACGTACCGAACCGTGACTTTAAAACCGAGGTACGTACCGAACCGTGATTTTTGTGTACCGTTACACCCCTAGTAGACATAATTTAAAAGAAAAGTTTGATATTACTTTATATGTCTTCATACAAAAATAAAAACTTTTGCAACTAAAAAGTGTGAAGTGCCAAGCTTTGGCCAGCTTTTAAATACATTTAATTCAAGTTTAAAATAAAACTTAAATAAAAAGCTTTTACATTTAGCTTTAAAGTGCTATAGTCAGATCAAACAAACAATTATGCTAAATGTGGTTTAAGGAGTAGGTCTACTTCAGCTACCAGGTTGACTGTTGAAATGTGAACTCGACTGGGCGCATTGAACTTCCTAAAAATATATACTAATTTCATAGAACCCTTGCGAAAATATTTTAAATAGATTTAAAAAAGCCACCGCTAACTGGTAACATCTATGGTTAGATTGATTTGTTTAGATCCAGTGAAGTCGTATAGGCGCGTAATTTGCGGGTATCTCCAGTTAACTAGCAGAGCATTCATTTAGGTCGCTATTTAATAATAAGAGACCTGTTGTTTTTGAAATCAAGCTGAGCGCTCGTGTCCGCTGCAATCAGTTTCATGGATATACAGTGTTCTCTGTGGCTCGCGCAGTCTTCTCTCGGACGCGCGCTTCTATCGCCGTTGTGGAGACTCCGGTGAAATCACAAAATAAAATGCACACAAACGTGATGAACATATTCGGTTTTGATGAGAGAGAGAAAAAACTATACGAGTGCGGTTTAGAACCCGTCACCTCTGACACGCTTGGCAAAAGATCTACAGAACTCAAACATAAGATATGCGGATCGATGCATTTATTTACGGGTTGAGCAGAGTGGCTGCACAGTTTGACCAGCGGGCGGCAAGAACTTGCAAAAACTATTTATCAGACCGGCCCTCGCAGCCTCGAAACCATAGAAACACTACCGGACCACCGGTAAAAGTCCCGACTTACCCGATTGCCACTCCGCCCCTGCACGCCATTAAAAAATATAGCCTATGAATCGATTTTTGGAATTCTATGAATCGATTCTGAATCGGTAAAGATTGAATCGCGATTCAAATGTGAATCGATTTTTTTGCACACCCCTACCACTAAACCATTAAAGAACTCAAACAAAACTTGCGGATTTATGCATTTATTTACGGGTTGAGCAGAGAGGCTTAATCTCTTTTTCTTTTTCCTAGTCTCTTCCGACCACGTTTTCTTAGCTTTTTCGAGTATCGTATTGTCGAGTATCACATCTTAAATACGCGCAAGTGTCTTCATGCAAGTGTCTCAAATCTTTTGATGAGGCAGCCCTAATGGTAACATACTTTAAGTGTGAAATAATGCACTTTATTTTATGATACAATGTTGACCACATAGCCTACTTCTTAGTTGAACTTTCAAACTTTATTTAGTGGCTTCTGTTTCCTGTATCTGTTTTTTTTTCTTGTAAATATTTACTAGCTATTATAAGTAAATGCCATGGTCAGCTTTTTTTTTCATGGGACCTTTAACGGAATTGAGTTTCTTGCAAGTTTAACATTTAAAGCAAACAGTTTGTGTGACTTCCAGACTGCATCCTTATTTGGCAGTGTGCATTAAAATGTCACATTTATGCACAGCATTATGTACGGTTGTGAGTTTTAGACTAGCTACATACTGACTGGAGTGCAGAATAAAAGTAATGGTGGTTGCTCTTCCACTGTCTTATTCACTGTAATCTGTCAGCATAGCTGTTGTGGATAAATGGGTTACATTTATTTCCCTTGTATAACCCAAACAGCTTAGCAGGGGTTATTGTTCAGCGACACAACTTCTAAAACAAATCCCCAAAACAAAGATCTTTCAGTGTTGTGGATAACATTCATTTACTTCAGAAATCCTCTT